ACCTTAGGTACCAGAGCCGTGGCTAATCATTATTATCAGCAGTTTAAAGAAATATTTACGGAGGAGGGTAGGAAGAATGTGAGAATAAAACATATTATATCAGGACAGACTCGTATTGCATGTACACCTGGCATGCAGCGAGCGCATCAACAGGTATGTGCCATATTCTTTTCCATTTAATATTTTCTAATCAATTACTTTATTTTGGATATTCTTTTCTTTTTAATTTCTTTTTCTTTTCAGGCGCAACATGCGAAATTAACAGCTCGACAATTGCAACAAATTCAATCGCAACAGATAGCACAGCAGGTTTGTAAACTATATGTCATACAGAATGAATGATTAAGATGAAAATAAAATTTATTTAAATATTTCTATTGATGATATAAAAACAGAAAAATATATAAACATATATAAAAACTCTCTCATCGATAATCGAGTAATGCCCTATCTCACAATCGTGTAAAAATTTCCAGCAAATACGCATGCCATTTCAGATTCTGTCACGGGCTCAAGGGCAATTAAATACTTTGACTGGTCAAGTAGCTTCGATGAAGGCTATGACAGAAGCCACCACCTCCGTACAAAATAGTCTATCGTGCGTGGACTCAGCGAATATGCCACAAGTTATTCCACAGAACGATGCTACCGTATTGAGCTCCGGGCAGTCTTTGGCCAATGGTGGCTCCAATGCATCGACTTCCGTGCAAGTTGATAATCCCGCGATGGCAGTAGCGGACAATACTTGTAATGGGTCTGGTATTCTGGTCTTTCAACAAAAGTCGAGTGGTACTATTAATAATGCGACGTCCACTAATGTTCCAGTCTTGGTAAGTTTTTATTTGCTTTTCTATATTTCATGACATACAGACATCGAATTTGAATCCATGTAATAATACGAAAAATGCAAATACGCGACATTGCACAATGTTACATAAAATTAGAATTAATGAAAATTTTTTATTTAATTTTGTAATCTTTTTATCTTTTTAAGCTTTTTATTTAAAATTTACAGCAAGCGCAATTACAAGCAGGAACGCAGAACTGTATAGGTGAAACTGCCAATCAGAATCAAAATGAGCCGCCGTTCAAGAAGCATTCGACTAATCCGGCTATAAGCGCTCTTGTTACTTCCCTTATGAATTCCGCGCATCAATTTCAGCAACAAGCCGCAGGTTTGCTATTGCATTACAGTCAGAAATTACTTTCGCGTTTTTTCTTCATATAATTTATCCACAATGCTTGTGCTTTTCATAATTTGACATTACATTTCATGTATCTTGCAGCCAATGCTGCAGCCGCAGCTATGAACAACAATGCGCAAGCTTCAAGCAAGTCGAGCAATGCCGCGATTCTTAGTTTATTAAATAGCACTCCTGCGAATTTGGCTCAACAGAAAGTTCAACCCCGAAAGATTTCTCTCAATGCTTCCATCCCATCCAGAGTTTTTAGTCATGGCAACGTGATCAATGTACCTAGCACTACGGGTCAAGTATGTTTAGTAATGTAATTTATTAATAACTTATCATCTTGCTATATATATTTTATTTATATCTTATATGCATCCACACACACACACACACACACACACACAGAATTCAAATGGATATGTTTATGTTGTAATATTAATCAAGCACATATAATTAATAATTATTTTATATATTTAATCCTTTTTTTTATACTGATTGGTGTGCGCGTGTGTGTATGTGTGTGGGATTATTTATTAATTAATTTGATATAAAATGTATAAATATCGCTAATATCTCAAAAATTTCAGGTACGCGTGAGTCTGAATTCTGCTTTGACTGGACAACTAGGATGCAAACAACAACCACTGAAAACGACCACTGTGAGACTCGCGCGAGTACAGGATCCCACGTCTACCCTTGGTTTGTCAATGCCGGGACTTTCGGCTATGCTTGCTGGTACAGTAAACAATATTTACAGATTTTTAAAGATTCTATAACAATAAAAAGTACAATATAAGAAATTTGTATACATTAATCACATTGATTATACATAATGCTAAAAATTGAGTTCATAATATTTCCAATATTTATTAAAAATATATATTTTAAATATTAAATATAAATTAGATAGTACTTTATTATAAATCAATATTTTTTTAGTCTTGTTAATAACGTAATATACGCGATTCGAATAGGTACGCCGTCGGCGGATAATCCTATACCTGGGATGAATTCGGCTTCGTCACTGCTCGAACGGCTCACTGCTTCTTCCAGTCAGAGCAGTCAACCAGCGAGTCCGATGACCAGTCCATCGCCGACTAATGTGAATCTACAAGGCGTGAACCTCACTAGTCTGCCAAACTCTATCAACGGCCTGCAAAACGTACAGGTTGTTTGGGACGACTGTCCAATTATTTTATACAAGCCGATGTATAGTAGAAATATACTACGTATACTATCGGTTTTTTGATAGGTATCGTTTTCGGGTTTGCCGCAACCCATCACGATGTCATTTACGATGTCTCCAAGCTCTGCAGGCACTGTCACACCCGTTATCGTCTCCCTGCCTATATCGTCCGCCACAAATACCTGCACGACGGTCTCGAGCGTTAGTATCGACTTACTTATACAGATAATTGCAAAACGGTTTTGTGGACTAACGATAATGAGCGGAATATTTTTTTTATACATATACATGTAAGTTCTCACCCTGCATGAAATATTTTAGCACATGCTAATTAGCTATCTATTGGGCGCATGTGTATTGTACCAAAAGGATTATTATTGCGATATACAAAACATAGATGACGGATAGTAATATATATATATATATATATATAATCTTTAAGTATCATTGCAACATATGCTATTTCAGATGGTGGCTACCACTGTCGTTACGACAGCTATTGCTGGGAGTACGCCAACAGTAGTGATCGCGAATCCTGCCAATCCTGCTCATTTGTCTTTACCAATTGGTAATATATATTTTATACATATCGTTGTTTGAACTTGCTCCATCGGCATTCATTTTTTTTATATATTTTTTGTGTTAAATATCTATATTTAAAAAAATATAAATTGTTTTACAAAACTTTTTGTAATTTTATAGTTATAGAAAATTTTTTATAAAAACAATTCCATTATTTTTTAATACGATATAGAAAAATTTGATATGTTTATAAGAAAATTTAACACATCTTAAAAATTTAAGATTACTTTATGTCTCTATAAGATACATATATCCTGAAGGCACACATGCCTTCAAGATTTATATATTTATTTTGTTATATATGCAATATCATATGATATCTAATATTTCATTGGCCATATGCATTTCAGCCCAAATAATACCATCTGTAAAAGGATTGTCGCAGCAAAATATAAGGAGTAATAATGCAGTAACTCTCGCACAGGTATTAATCTAACAGTTAAAAAGCTGCAGTTTCTTTTAGAGTGCACCCACTATTGTAGAATAACAAAATATAAAATTATAACTATAAAAAATAAAACATGTCTACATATATTACATCTTGTAAATATATATCTAGTCAAACATTGTATACAACTATGTGAGAAATGTATTCCGAAGATTTTATAATAATTAATGTTATATATCATTAGGGAGGACAAGCAATCCAGCTCATTGGATCTCAAAGGCCGCGATTTAATCATATGACTCGTCAAGTACAATCGAATCAAGTTAAATCGGCTGTCCTATCGAATCAGCTGGTGACAGTTGCCAAAACAGCGAATCAGTTGATATTGTCTGGTAACAAACAAGTATTAACTCCTATAATGAGTAAGTTTATAATTTCGAATTTTATGAAAGCAAATAGTAATCAATATTTTTTCATGTAGCACTTTGCACGTTTATTAATTATAATGATATTTATATATAAATTTTGTACATATATACACAGCCGCGACGAAACCTGTGCTTATGGCGTCACAGACGACGCCTTCTTCCCAAGTAGTACCTGTTAATAAACAAACTCTATTGACAAAATCCTTGCACGCCAGGACTTCTACTGGTCAGTGCAGCCAGCAAACGCAAAGTCTCGGGGTGACTACTCTATCACAACAACAAGTATGTACAAATTATATATTAAGAGATTGGCTTTGAATACATCTCTTGAAGTGAAGTAGTAATTTTATTATTAAATTAGAGAAAGGAGAAAAAGAAAGACGAAATATTACTTATATTAATTATTTATAAAAATGTATAAATTATAAAAATAATAGTTCATAAAAATTTATATAGAACAATATTTAGAATTAATTTAATAAACACTTTCATAAGCACATTTATATTTATTTAAAGGGTTCAGCTATATCACTGCATAAAAGGTAAGGAACATTTATTCTGATGTTATAGTTTCAGCAATTACAACAATGTCTAGCTGCGCAGCATAAAGTTGCCGTCGCGGCGGGAAGTTCTCAAAGTAGAACCCAAATTGAAGCTCAGAGAAATTCCACGTCTGCCCCCGGGGAAGATCCCGCCTGAACATGTTCAAATAAATGATAATGTTATGATCATGTTACGTCGAAATAATTGGAGCCCGCCTAGAAGAAATGTAATTAGGCATTTATATATTATATTAAGATCGAACTTGAGATTATAAATATTCGCATGTGGAAATGTATGATGAATTGTGTCTCTCTTGAATTATGTCCACTTTTATTAGAAAGAAATTTTACTCGCGAACGATTTACGTTTGCCAACAGAGAGAATATATAAAATATTTTACCAGATCAGTATCGTAATGTTATTACGCCAATGTGCAATAAAATTATTTCTGTCAATCCCGCCTTAAACGTTGCTTTAGGAAGGTTTCAATTATTGTACATATGACTTATACATACGATACGATTCGTTTTATATTAAAAATGTAATAAATATCCAAGTTTTTTATTCATCTTTATCCCTTTTCATACCATAATTAAAATCTTTCAATTGGTTATCGTATCCTTAATTTATCTCACGAATAAAGAAAGCAAATGATATCGTTTGATATGTTTTATTTGATTTAATTATATATGCAACAAATTTTGTTTAATGTATTAAAATTTATCTCATTTTTAAATTTTTTCCAAAACAGATATTAAAAATATTATTTTACGAATCTCACCTACTTATATATTTCAAGTATTGTACCTTATAATTACTATTTTACGTCGATCACAATGTGCTCAGATACTATTTTATATCTAACAATAAGTTACATACGAGTATATATATATATATATATGAGTACTCATTTTAGTAAATTTCTACGATGCAAAAATTCCAGTGCATCGTTGCATCCTTGCCTACATATATTCGAGAGAATCTGCAATTCAAAAAAAATATAATATTATGTTTGTTGCATATTTCACACATTTTTACATCATATCAGTAAAAAGTATAACTAAGATTTTTTTGTTTTACCTCTGTTTTAGGCGGAAAGAATACCTGTATGAACCTATATATATTTTGCTTAGAAAGTTCTATGCTCGTATTAGAGACATTGAGCTGCAAAATAGAGATACACTAATAATATAGACGAGCGATAATTAAAATCGACGAGCTAATTTAACAGGCGCATGCTCGTTAATTTAATTTTACATATATCTTTATTATTTTTTTGAGCTTCTTTAGCAAAAAAATACGCGCGGAAACGAGCACGTACGTGAAAAAGCTGATGCGAGATATCTCTAGGGCAAATATCGCTCTCTCCGCAAAATGGACATACAGTAATAGTATCTTCATCGAACGTAGGAAGATTGTCGCTGAAACCACCGTCCATGTACCTGATACCGTGAAATCGTGGTGGCAGCAAACCGGAATACAACGGCACAAACGAAGTGGCTAGTAGAGCCTGTATAAAAAAGAAATACTAATAGTATATAAAATAGCGTAAAAATTTTTTATATACACGGCTTCCTTGGGAGAAAAGATTTTTATAGTTTATATAAAAAAATCGATTTGCTACCTTGGTAAAATTTCCCTCAAATAATAAGAATTACTTTTTACTCTTGCTATTATAATAATAATATTTCACTTTAATTTTAATATGATGAATTTATTACATCAATCTAATATATCAATTTTGATTTTTGATTACAGAGAACAATGCAAATTATAATATAAGCGATACAAAGCTAAAAATTTTCTTACTTGTAGTAGATCTTCTTTTGAATTGAATTGTGAGACTATCACGTTCTTCCTATCATATACTCTAGTCAATGAGATATGCAGTTTGCCATTTACACGGATGTGAGCGTCGTCCGGTAGAATCTAGAATGACAACGAAAATCGCGTTCTTTTTGCATTGTCGTGAGAGATTTCAATAATCTGATTTAAATAGTATGTTATCGATATATAATACTCTAAGAATGACCTAAAAGTATATATATATATATATATTCAGGGTTTCTCGCTTGCAATTTTTATCTCTTAATTTGTTGGAAAGTTTTCGCTCTTCTTCTTTCGAATATTATTTGCTGTTTATAAACAACAAATAATAAAATTATCAAGGTGCATGTATTATAAATAGCCGATAAAAAATTTATTTAAAATTTCAAAACTGATTCAAAAATTTTGCTTCGCATACAGTATTGAATACATAAATATTACTTAGGCTGAAAAAAAGCGGCATATAGAAAAACAGCCGTGAAATTCAACTTAATATTATTGTCATGTTTTGTTATACTAACCTTCTGTAGGTTCTCCAATAATATGTCTTGCACATTGAAATACGGACTGAGTGGTCCAAGTGCGTGTTGTCGCGCTGTATGTGCCATGTATAAAACACCATTTACAGTTTCTTCTAAAATGAGAAAGAAGAGAGTGAAACAATCATATATATGTGCAATTCATTTAAAGCGGAATTAATTGAGGTTGTTAGGATATTTACGCATTTTATCCACGCATTTATATATGTTTAGTTATTAAAAAGCATGAAGAATTAAAAAAATTTAAATGATTTATTTTATATAGACGAAAATCTCGCGTGATACTGATATTTTTACATATTTTTACACATTTCTTTTTAAGATAGACATTTTTTGTTAAAAAACAAACGCGTAAATTCAAATGCAAATTCTTGCAATCACAGTGTATCTAAAACCGATCAAAATAATTTTTCTTTTTTCTAAAGATAAAATAGTGTGTATGATCATGTACTATATATGTATGATATTATGTCATATGAATTATCAGTATGTTATCGGTATAAGCCAAACGTGTCAATGGCTTAGAACTTTTTAAAACGATAATTTTATGATTGGAGATAAACTTCGGTCAAAGACCTAATATAAAAACTTCACTTGTGCCGTTAAAAATATGTATCATAAAAAAAGAAAAAGAGATACGATATCAAAGTATAAGTAATGGGCATATATTCGATTTAATTAATTTTATCTTGACAAGTTGTCGTACGACTTTACAAAAATTGTTAAAATCAGGCACTTACCGAGGGGCATATCGCAAAGTAAGCAACACGCGGCCATAGCACCCGCGGACGCGCCACTTAATTTATTCAGCGGTAAATGCGGCGCGTACTTTTTCAAACCGATGGCCACGCCGATGTGATAGATGCCGAGAAAACCGCAACCGGCGAACGACAGATTCATGTCGCTCTTTGTCGTTTTGTCTTAATATAATAACGCGATGCTGTCCCTCGCGTCGTCTATTCTTCCTTTCTTCTCGATCCTCTCGTATTTTTGCGAAGAAACGCGGGAAAGATCATCGAGATCTGTCACTCCCACGTGTCTGATTTTTGAATCATACGCGTACGAGAAGAGCACGTCTTTGAAGAATGCTCTTGATTTCTTTTCCGCGTATCCGTCCGCTCGAAGTAATGCGAAATGCCAAGAGATACATGTGCTACGACGGCCGATCATGTGCTGTCAACGTGCGAGAGCAAGAGTCATTCGCAATAAAGGTCCGGATGCTCTTTGAAGAACGGAGAGGGAACAGTATTGCGAAATGGTTGAAAAAAAAACGTAAACGATTCTTCACACATCAATATCATAATATTACTCTCTGCTCACATATAAGATTGTTTCTATGAATTGAATTTTCGCTTTAATGTATTACTTTTCAGAGGAAGATTTTTTAAATATTCTGCATATAACTTTTATATGTATATATATATATACGCAAACCAATTTGTTTTATGTAATGCATCTCGTAATTGATCAGTCTACTCTTAATTCACTTCGTGAATAGATTAAAACAACATCGATATCTTATTTTGCTTAATTATATACAGCATAAACACATTCGCAAATTTTGTTTAATATATTAAAATTTATTCCATTATTTGTATTTTTTCAAATTTTATCAGAAGATTGTCTTATTATCCAACTGTGCTTAACATTTATATGTATTTGTACATTTGGACTCATTCGCGTGCGTGTTATGCAGACTTATTTATAAATATTATAAAAATGTTCGCGTTAAATATATATTATAGAATATAATTTTTTACCACAGCAGATCATAAAGGACGCGCAAAATTATAACAGCGAGACAATTACTTATAATTACATATTCTTTTAATACAATGCTATTGTGTAACAATTATCAATTATACATGTATAAATATCCCAACTTTTTTAAGTAAAAATCTAGTTTCTAACATTTAAAAAATACCAAAAAATAAATATTTTATTAATACTTATAAAATATCATCACAACTGTTTCAATAAGCATTATTTGTGTTTCCTTTACACATCATTCATAATAAGTAACAAAGTATTTCCTCCAAATATCAACTTAGTCTAACTAATATTTTTATATTTATAGTTACAAAACAGGAGAATTAATTTAATTATATTTGATTTGTTCGTTAGTATTTATTTTGCTTATTCTATGTATAGATAAGATACTACATACGCGTGTAACCATTCATAATAATCGTCAATAATGATGTAAGATTTTATATTAGCTTATAAAAAGATTTGTAAAAAGAATCGACATCTTATTACAATATTTCTAATATTTCTTCAATTAGATCTTTTGTAAATTAACAAGAAAATTATTTATGATGATAGATAAAATTAAATTAAAAAATGAAAAATTATATTTTATATTATTTAAAGTAATAATGGGTAAAAAAAATATATTTGCATATCATTTAGGATAATTTTATATCACAAAAAGAATATAAAGGTATTGCTATGCAAAATACTTTATTTGCATAAAGGTTTTTTATTTTGAAAAAATGCTTTATTCAAATAAAAGCAATATAACAAAAAACATTTTACAACGACTTTTTTTCTTATATTTTTTTTCTATTTCAACGAAATTATTTCTAAAAAAAGAGAGAAGTTTTTTTTACCCAATATTCTTATATAAAGCAAAACGTAAAATAATAAATCACATAACATTCTTAATATTTAAACATACATAAAGTATTATTGGTACAAGATATCACAATTAAAAGTTAAACTGATGTGTATGATGTATGATCAATAGTTACTAAATTATACTCTATAACGACAGTACATAATATAAAAAGTCTAACTCTTTAACATTCAGATTCAGCTATATGTAATCACAAAAGATATTTTTTTTTTTTCTATGATCGACTATAAACAATTTATAATTTGGAATATATATCATTCTGAAAACTATAAAATTGCTTTATAATAATTATTATGAATGCTATAAGGAAGATATAAAATAAAAAATTTAATAATAATTAATGCTAATAAGAAAATCATGATAGAGTATGACAAAAATATAAATGCATGTATTCTAAATGTATCCTAAAATGTTTTAAATCTTATATTCTGATATCTTCACAACCCAGATGCAGCATAATTTAAAAGTTTTGTGAACAACTGCAAAATTATAGTAACAAAAAAATATGTGTCACAAATTATAAGATATATAAAAAAAATTACTGCCGATTTTTAAGGATGTATGATAGTATTTATCAAAATAAACAAGAAAATCTTTAATAAACATAAAAATTATGGTGTTTAAACATGTTCCCTAAAGAAACATGTTCAAACGAGTAATGAAATTAAGAACTGGTTGAATATATATTGAATATATATTGTAGATAAAACAAATATTTACTTAGAAAAAAGTAGCTAGTCTTGTAGTTCAAAAACATGATTTCAGAGTTCAAGTTTTTGATACATTTATTATTTCTTTAACACGATCCAAAAATTTGAAAGTAATCTCTTTATGCACTATACAAAAGATTAATATCACTGAGATAGCCTTTTAATTATAACTTGAAAGGAAACTATAACTAACTATAACTTGAAAGGAAACGATCTTTCCTTAAAATCAAGGATAACAAGTTATTATGAAAAAGGACCATTTCTCTCTCATTATAATCTTTAATGTTAAAGATTATATGAGATAAATTATATCTTAAAATTCACTACAAAATATAATTTTCTGTCATCTATTTTCTTTTCAGAATTTTAATTTCTCAAAAATCAACTATTTCTTTAATCGTTAGTTCTTCGAATACTCTACAGTTGACAAAACTCAACAGTTGCTTCGATTTTTTGTCGAAGAAAATCGATTTCGAGCAAAATTTCTTCGAAAAAAATCGGTTAAAAGTACCAATGATTTCAATATATTATCTTTAATCACCAATGCATCAGTCTCTTTGTGTAAGATCTTATACAATATAAACTTATACAATCGTTTATTATTAACGAAATTTTTAAATCCAAGTTAATAACTTAGATTATAATAGAATACTGTTGTACGCCATACTAACATTTAAATGCGGTGACATATATTTACTGACATGTATGTACATAATATTGTAAGTATGAGCTTATATGCATCAACACTATATCTCAATTATATATCTTACAAGAATATAAATTTTATAAAATAGTGCTCTTAAATAGAGCATCTTTCGTTATTTTTTCGTATGTTTGTGCATAATATTCGAATATATCTTTTTAAATATCTCCTATTCTTATTCATGGTTAAATAAGTAGAGCATATATCACAATATATCATTCAAAAACCTACACTTGCAATTATTATTTCTTATTTCTGTGGTAACAATAGCAGGCTATTAGAGAATAATTTTTATAACAAACTCGTGGATGGTTGATCTACTTCCGGTCGACTGTCCGGAGATTTGGGCGTTTCTTCTTGCTCCTTTTCCATTTCCCATTCACTTTCCGGATCGGAGAATATATTTGCGCTATTTAATATCTCGTCTTCTAATGATGCATCCGATAAATTTTCCGTATTTTCTTGATTTCCATCGGTGTAAAGAGACTCAGTAACCACTGCAATAAACGTTTATACGTTCATACAATCCATCTTTTTAAACTAATATTCTTCATTCAAGGACTTTCTCTATAGTTGATTTCCTAAATCAACTATTTTCCTCTAAACTAAGCTTCTTCTCCTGTGTTGCTCTTTATCATCTCTACTATTTACATTTTCCATGAGATTATCTTAGAACAAGAAAGCACATGAAAAAGTAAAAAAGAGAATTTGCAACTTTAGTTAAAATATTGATCATAAATTGATCTCGTAGGTTTTATGGAAAAAAACCAAATAATTTACCATCATTGAACGTATGTTGAGATAGCCATGTAGGTTCATCCCAGTCGTCAAATTGAAGTCTTCTATTGGTATCAATTTCGTCTACAGAAAGCATAGTATGCGATTCTGAATCAGTTACATCGAAGATCTCTGTCACTTGCACTTTGTTGTTATCGTCCATATAATAATACGCTAGTACAGCATTTTGATCTGTATTTGCCTATATTGATGCGATTTATGAAATTTAATCTTTTAAATCATATATTTTAAATATATTTTAATACACTTATTGTTGAATACATACTTGGAAAATATTTTCCAAAGTATCATCCACTGTTTGTGTGAGATCATCCATATTTATTACACAACTCGATTTGCTCGAGTCTGTCCATGATGGTTGCCTAAAACATAATATGTTAATAATGATGACATCATACAATCAAAATATAACCCAATGCAATTATCTGTTACTTACCGTTCGTTGTATTGGACAGACAAATTCAGATTTTTTTGTTTTTTATATAAAATATCTGCCTCCTCTATATTCTCTACATTATAAATATCTGAAAAAATTTGAGAATATTGATTGAGAATTACTCTGCCAATGCATAATAAATTAATTCACTTGCACTTTAAGCAATATCAACTTTTACATATTTTATGTTTCATATATTATGCGTGCCTAATATATTGTATCACATATATTATAGTTTTAAAATTCTCTCTTTCTCTCTCTCAGATTATTAAAAATCTAAAATATACTTACTCGGATCATATTCCATAATGTTGAAATGACACTTGATAGTTTGAGGCAATGGCTGAACATAGATGTTGATCTTTGGAAACATTATACTTAATTGTTCTAAGAAAAATTTAGTTAATTCCACTAGATTATTTCTCAGTTTCGGAACACTCATAATAAATCTGAAATAGAAAAAACACATTTTTCGTTAATTATATATGCATACAAAATAAAAGTTATTTTGAAATATTATATAATTATTACAAAAACAAATCTCTCGTCTGCGAAAATATTCCCATTTACGTATTTTGTTCAATTTTTATTTACATACTTTAGAAATATTCTACAATCTTTCGCACCTTTATTTGCAAAGTAAAATCGCAAATCATTTAAGAATTCTTATTATAGTATTTTTTTCATGAGTGAATAAAAATTTATATATAAGTGGCAATGCGACAAAATATATCTACGATTAAAAATAAAATTTCAGGCAACACATACTTTTTGACGAAAAAGAAAATTTCGTGAACACACGGTGCATTACAAGATAAAGAAAACATTAAGCCTGAGAATTTGATATGCTTACCGGGAGCGTGTTAAATGCTTAGGGTGAGTAAGTGCTCGTTGCGGGATATGTAGAACATTTCCGACTACTTTGTATTCCAAAGTGCGAGTTTCTATCTTGTTACCAATCAGACTACCAACGACATGCATGATGGTAAATACACAATATCACAAGCAATAATCATGGTTTGTGAAATTGCACCTTGATTAATTGAATGTATGGCATGCAATATACAATAGTTCGTTCCATAGGTTTTCGAAAAACCGTCCATAGCCGAAAAAACATTTTTCGGTACATTTCAAATTGGTTATAAACTGGTTTATTTCAAAACCTATGGAGCGAACTACAATCATTTTGATCTCATTTGAAAGATAATTTAATACCGAACAAAAAATTTCCTATAAACATGGGTCGTAAAATGCTTCCTTAAAAAGTTAGCGCCCAAAAACCTCTGAAATCACGGTTATTTTTTACATTTTTACAAATATCAGGGAAAGTATGCGTCTTTTAACAAAAAGTACCGAAACAAAAGTTGTAGAGAATTAAATTATCTTTCAAATGAGATCAAAGTTATTGTATTGGGTTGAACGGAAAGTTCGTGCCGTTTTTTCGGTCTTCATCTCTTAGTAAAAAACGGAACGAATTTTCCGTTCAACCCAACACACACACACTGTAACTCATGCAGTGAAATAAAAGATAGTAAAACTTAAAATTAATAAGCTTTTTTAAAGAATAGTAAACTTATATAAAATTTAATTGTTATATTTATTAATAAAAAATATTAATTCATTAAAATAAATTTTTGATCGCAAACGAAATGGCATGCAACATCTATATTAGATCTAAAATTAATATAATATTAGATTACAAACGCGCGCGCGCCTTAAAAGCTAAATTGTTTCGTGTATGTACTTCGTTAAGCGGATGCATTTATGTATACATACATAATACATATTTAAATAGTTACTTACTTTGTGATGGTGGCGTACATTACATCTGCCGGTATCGTGCAAGGCAAACTCAACAATGATAAAAGTTTCATACTACGGTGTTTGAACAGCCAATTAACAAGTCCCTTATTGGCGGAATCTATGGCATCTTGGAATATCGTCATAACAGTCTCAGGCAAATTAGCTACCAATGCTTCCTAAAAATAATATAAGTTTTCTTATGCATATATGTACATAATAATATAAAAATAAAATCAATAATAAAAAAAAATTATCAAAATCAAAAGAATACAAAAATTTAAGATTGATTAACATTGATTAAAATGGATAAAATTGAATTTAAATTTCGATACAAATAATATATAGAGTGAATGATATTATTGATTAAAAATATTATCACATTGTGAGCCTTACCTGTCTATGCATCTTACATTCTAGACATTCCGGGTCATATTCCATGCTATCATCGATTGTTTCCTGGACTGTATACGTCGATTGTACCGCGAGACATCTCGTGCAGTTTAGCATATTGTTACGATGTAAAAACCTCAATGCATCATCGAATCCTTGCTTACACATATTCGAGAGAGTCTATAAAGTTCAAAAGAATGTAAAATTATATTCGTTACATTTAAGATAATTGTAATATCAAAGAGTACAGCTAAGGTTTTGGTTTTACCTCTGTTTTTGGCGGAAAAAGTATTTTCGTGAACCTGTATATATTTTGTCTAGAGAGCTCTATGCTTGTATTGGCAAGATTGACCTACAAAATACAGACGAGCAATAATTAAAATCGAGATAATCAAACAGAGATATGATTATCATTAACATGATTGCACGTACCGTCAGAATTTTTTTTTAAGAAAAAAATTAATTTATTAACACGCGTAAGCGGCGAGTACGTACATGAAAAAGTTGAGACGAGATATCCCTGGGGCAGATATCGTTTTCGCCGCAGAATGGACTAACGGTAATAGTATTTTCGTCAAGCGTAGGAAGATTATCGCTGAAACCACCGTCCATGTATCTGATGCCGTGAAATCGCGGTGGCAGCAAACCGGAAAAGAACGGTACAAACGAAGTAGCTAGTAGAGCCTGTACAAAAAAAAAAGAAAATATTAAATATAAAATAGTGAAAATTTTTAGATATAAACGGTCCCCTTGAGATTATTACAATTTATATAAAAAAAAAATCGATTTACAATCAATTGATAAAATTTCCCAAATAATAAAAATTATTTTTAGTTGAGTAATATTTTGTTTGAAAAATTTATCTAACAAATACGATAAGCTTATTATCAAACCGTCTAGTTTAGATCTTTTGTTACAGCAGCACGAATTACTATAATACAAATAATAGCTGAATTTTCTTACTTGCATTAAGTCTTCCTTGGAATCGAATTGCGAGACGATCACATTCTTCCCGTCATATACTCTCGTCAAAGAGATGTGCAATTTGCCATTTACACGAATATGAGCATCGTCCGGTAGAAACTAAAATAAAAACAACATCCGTTTTGTATTATATTATAACAACAAGAGATTTTAATAATCTTCTTGTTCTTACTTTTCGCAAGTTCTCCAACAGAAAGTGTTGTACATCGAAGGATGGACTGAACGGTCCGAGCGTGTGTTGTCGCGCTTCGCCTGCCAGACGTAATACATTGCTAATCACCTCTCCTGAAAAAAAAAAAAAGAAATAACAAAACGATCATGTGAACGAATCGAAGCAAGGCTAATTGAGATTGTTAAAATATTCGTAAATCACTAATGTAGCTAACATTCGATCGCTGGCAACAGATTTATTCCATGGTGATAAAACTTGTAAGCACACAAAGAGACAAGTTTTATTAATTATTAAATTCCAAATTTAACAAAGTCGATTTTATATGTAAATGTTTACCCGCATATTTAATTCAATGATCGAAATGTAATTTTTAATAAATCTGGAAAAGGGAACACTCAATGCAAGATTAAGATCGATAAGATATTTATAAGATAATGTTAGCAGTGCTTATCGATAAAGCGTCAAGTAAATAAAAAGGATTTTGAAAAAATCATATTCAAAGTTTTAGAAATTATATTCCAACTATATGTTCTTATATATATATTTTTATTAGTACAAGTATTTATAAAGCATCGTATTTTCCAGAGATTAATTAGTCTTTATTGAGAGCATATTTTCAGAATCCATCTGTTTATTAGATAAGCATAAAAAATATATGAACATCGTAATGCGAATTATATGATTCATTCTTTTGACGATCAATATCACTAATAAAATATGCTATCTATTTCAGCTCCATTTGTTAATCTTTCTGAATAACTTTTTAATAGGAGACTTTTTAATAGAATATCATTGATAATATATATTTAGAAAACATATCCAATCAATATAATAATTGAAAACTGATTTTAAAGAATTAATTTATAAAAAAATAATGCCCCAAAATAAAATTAAAATAGCTAAAAATATGCAAAATTACTAGAAGCAACGTCTTCCATTTTGGTGAAGAGACAATGTTGCGAAATATTCGAAGATTATACAAAGAATGCTGTTTTTCGAAACAAGTATGCCAATGACGTTATCGTATATCATATCTGTAATGAGTCAATAAATAAAGATAGATGTGTGTCTATTAAATTTATTCAGCAACGATAACGCGCTATCTTCCTTTCTATCTATTTGGCATTTGCTCCAAAATAAAATTAGAAACGAGTGTACGTCAGAAAAAAAGAGCGATAGGAAGAGAGAAAAAAAAATATCGTTGTTGCTGTCTTCCG